AGGAAAGAGCGACTTTTTTTACACACATGCCCATGACCATGGCTGCCTTTGTATTAGGGCTGTGCAAAGCTTTAGTTGCTGATTTGATTCGGCGGAGATTTGACCCGATTCAGCGGCCGAATCCAAATTGAATCAAGAGACTCTACAATCTTTCTGAATCAAATCAAAACCCTGCAAATTGATTCAGAGAGATTTGATGATTCAGATATAGGCACAGCCTTTAAAGTTTTTTTTTCGTACCTCAAGGTACCAGGCAGCTTGTGAATGCTGAAATGCTGGGGTGGATGGAGCATCCCATGGGAGCGTGGGGTGCACTTGGTGGCAGATCCAGAAGCACTTCCGGTGGACCAGAAGCACTCCTGCCTCCCAGTTCAGTGACTAGTGCCTCCTGGGTCTGGAGGGGCACACAGGGTCTCCCCATGGCTGATCGTCGAGCCGGGGTGGCTTGGGGTGGGGGGCTGCGCACTCAGCAGCAGATCTGGAAATAGACCAGAAGTAGTTCCGGTCCACTTGCAGGTCCTCCACTGAGCCCTGCCCCCACCCCCTCCCTATGCTTCTGTGGGATGCTCCATCTGCCCCAGCATCTCAGTGTTCACAAGCCATGCCTGGTACCTCGAGGCATGTAGAAAAAAACATTTAAAGCTGTGTCCATGGCCGAATCGCCGATTCTCTGAATCAGCGTTGAATCTTCAGATTCGGACGAATTAAATTGGGACAGTGATCTGAATCAACGAATCAAATCACTGTCCCCTGATTCAGGCCAAATTCAAATCAAATACAGACCATTTCACACATCCCTACTTTGTAGCATCCCCAATCTGCTCATCACACTTGAACATACATTTCAACAGACTGAAGATAGAAATATGCTGAGCAAGGGAAGAAGAGGATCTGGTCCCAGCCTACCTTATCTGCTCTTATTTCTTATACCATCAGCAGTACCATCCTCTTAAAATGTGCTCCACCATGACCCTTTCTGTTCACCTGTACCAATACCTAAGTTGACACTTCTGGACTCT